GAGATGAGAAATGAGAGCAGAGTGGGGAGAGAGCACAGTGGACCATGGGAGTGGACATTAGGTGCTTTGGTGGTTGGTTTGATACGGTAACAGCACCTAGGGAGAGATCTTATATCTGTAGAACACAATGTTCTAAACCTGTGTTACCTCAATTTTTCAAAAGAATGGAAAAATAAAATAACTTATTCTTATGCTCAGGTCATAGAAAAATATACAATAACTAAAAAAGAACAGAGCCTGAATCACCCAATAGATAATTTCATGCAGTCTAATGTTCATGTTAGAAAGAGAAAGGAACAAAGAATGAGGGGGGGTGGGAGTGATAGTTTAAGGAATAATGACTAGAAATTCCAAATTTTGATTAAAAACTTAGTTTTACAGATCCAAGAAGTCCACTGAATCCCAACAGGGTTAATATAAAAATCCCACACCTCAGCACATCATAGTCAAAATGCCAAAATACAATAATGGAGAGAAAATAATGAAAGGAACCAGAATAAAATAATATATATATATATAGGGAACACAATCCCACTATAAGGTGAACTTTCGTCATAAAAATTAATTTGAATTTTGTATTTCACACAAAATGTTATTTTAATATTTAAAAAAACCCATTTACACCTGAATCCCTTAAGTTATAAAAGGAAAATGTTCATGTTTGGCTTTTGATTACAGAAATGCTTGTTTCTCTGCCTTAAAACGGAGGGAAAGTGAAGGCAACAATGTTGTGAAATGGAAATCTTTTGTTCTCTATGTCTCTTATCCACATATAAGTCGCTATAGAATGTGTGAGATTATTGCCATGCCCAACCCTTGGGCCACAGAGGAGAAATTGGCCAAGGCAATTTGAGTTCAGATTCCTTCATCTGGATATGTAGGATATGTATTTCATTTCCACTTTACTGCCTGTTTTAGTTTTCTCTAACTGCATTTTACTTACAAAATTTTACTTTAAGGAAAGCAAACCCATGGATGATTCCTGGGAAAAGAACCTGAAGTAGCAAAATCGGGCAATTGTTACTGTTCCTTTTCCCCCAGCCCACTGTTGCTTATAGAGGCATTATTTTGGACATAAAGTAATATTTGCTATCTTAAAAATGAATTTTTTATAATGCTGATGTTAATGCCACTTAGCACCAAAGCCTGACTCGTTTTGAAACCATGTAAACCTGGGGAATATTACAGTTTGACTCAAACACAGAGAATAACAACAGTGTTAATTTACAAGGGGGAGATTAAAAAAAGGAAAGAGTTTCTAAGATCACAAATGGCCATCCATCCTACTCCAGGTAGTGTCCTGTGTCAAGTAGCCTAAACCAAAACCTACCTATGAATGACGGCGTTGTCACTCTATTGAGAACCTGGAGCTAGTGGCATACCGAGAAGCTGTGGGCCAGGACCCAACTCATGGTGGCAGCTGGAAGTAATCACAGCAGCCAGCACCAGCAATCCTGGAGGCTGGACCAGGCCAGGCAGCACTGGAGGCATCAGCAACAGGAGACAGCTCTTTGGTGGCATGGGCACAGGCCAGCAACATGGATCAGGCAGCTGCAGACGCCTCTTAAAGACGGAACAAGCCTATGGCAAGGATCAGTAGGTGATGCCAGAGGATCAGACAGAAGCAATCAGCTCTTAAAGACTGCGCCAAGGGTGCCTGAGACAGGAGTGGCCATCAGGAGGTGGTGCCAGTCATGCTAGAGGCAGGAGCAGTGACAGTTGACAATCTGAAGCAAAGAGTTGGAGATCAAAAGTGAAGGTTGTTCAAGACAAGAGTGTTAAATGAGTTGGAGATCTGAACACAGGAGCACCTGGGCTTCCCAGGAGAGAGTCCCCAGATCTGTCTGCTGCCCCAGCCATTATGGCTTTCAGGGTTCCTTAGTTCTTCTTGTTGATAGCAACAGGTGTGGCTTTCAAACCTCATTTTTGTCAAAACTGACTGGGGTCTCAAAATCCAAACCCCACTGTTGTGTGAAACCCTACCTGTGCTGGAATCAGCTACCTCACATCTTGTGTGGCAGCGGGCACAGTGGGTACAGTTGAGCCAGGCATACTCTGCTGCACCCGGTTGCTAAAGGGGGGCTGCGACGCTGCACCACCAAACCAGGAGCCTTGGAAATCCTCTCACAGTATATAACCTTGGGTAAATTTCCTTTCTAATGTTTAGTTTCCTCATACAGCATTTACCTCCTAGGGTGGTTATGAAAAGTAAATCAAATAACATAAATTATACATACTCAATAAGATTGGTTCCCTCTTTTATCTTTCTCTCCCTTAAAAAAAGACACATTTCAAAATCAGAATCACAAAGTCTCTAAAATAGAAAAGATAGGTAGTATTGTGGGGAGGTGTGTGTGAAAGGAATTTTTAAAAATTGGGTTTTTTTTAAAGTTTTTTTTTAAGATTTATTTATGTGTACAAGAACTGGGGTACAGGCCAGAGGTGGGGGTGGTGAGAGGATTCACCAGAGACAGAGCGGGGAGCAGAACAGGCAGACTGTCTGAAATACACTGCTGAAGGGAGCAGAGGGCAAGTCAGGAGAGGTCTGCTGCACCATGTGGGTAGCTCCCTGGCCAGGGATTGAACTCTTGCTGCAGTGACTGAGGATAGCTTCATAGGTTGTGTCTTATTAACCTCTTGCGCCACCAGGGAGGCCCTAAAAATTGTTTTCTAATTATAAATGTAATCTGAGTTGTTGTAGAGGATTTGGGGGATATTTTAAAAAATGTGTAAATAAGAAAATCCTACTAACAAGAGCTTACTACTATTAAAATTTGGTATTTATCATTCTAGTCTTTTTTTCTATATTTTATCCCATTTTGAAAACAAAAAACACTTTTACTGAGTTTTCGCTGCCAGCTATCATTCCTCCCTTTCAAAGCTTTCATAGCCAAATTCTTAAAAACATGCTTTTAAATCATGCATTCTACATTCACAGAAAAAAAATGTACTCTTAACAGATACATTCAGAGCCTCCTGGTCAGTAAATCCAATATTTTGCTGTCTTTTTTTTTTTTATTACTCCCCAAGTGTATTTTGCAGTATAAACCATTCCTTTATTCTTGAAATAAAGGACTGACTTTTCCCTTATTTCCTGGTCTCTTTTGGATACATCCTTTATAGGATACTTAATGTCATTTTTATTTTTAAAACTTGAGTTCTGTCACAAATCCATTTCAATCATCCTATAGTTTCACTTGCCATGAGTATGCTGTAACTTCAGACCTCACATTTTCTCTCTGTACTTCACAGCCATGTATCTATATTTGAACATCTTTATTAAATTTATCTGGATTAGTCTGAGGTGTCTCAAACTCAATATACTCTAAACTAACTTCAGCCCATTATCTCATTCCCTCCCACAAACAAAAGTTTGTCTCTGAGTATTCTACTATTTTCTCATTTACTCAAGATGGAAATGGGATTCTGCATTAACTCCTTTTCACTCAGTCACTGTACCCAGTTGCACTACCAAATCCCTAGTATCTTTCTAGTCCCTCCAGAAAAGAGATTGCCTGGGCCTCACTGGTGGTGCAAGGGGTTAAGATGCAACCTATGAAGCTATTCACAGCCACTGCAGCACAAGTTCGATCCCAGGCCAGGGAACTACCCACATGGTGCAACAGACCTCTCCTGACTCACCTGCTGCTCCCCTCCACAGTGTATTTCAGTCAGTCTGCCTGTTCGGTTCCCCTCTCTGTCTCTGGTGAATCCTCTCAACCCCTACATCTCTGGCCTGTACCCCAGTTCTTGTATGCATAAATAAATAAATCTCTTTAAAAATAAATTTACAAACAAATAAATAAATAAAATTCACTGGTAACTTGCTGTAGCCCCTAGAATAAAATCCGAACTCCATATCTTGACTTAGAAGAGTCTTCCTGAATTGAAATCCTTCCAATATTTTATCTCTTGAACTTTGGGTTGTAGTCATATAAGTGTCTATTATTTGCTCAAAGATGCCAGGCTTTCTCACCTCTAGACTTTACACATGTTGCTGTTTTCCTAAAACACTTTTACTTTCTCCTTTGTTTGGCTAATTCCTAATTCTAAGCCTCAGAATACATGTTTTTATATAGAGTTCTCTTGACTAATACTACATCTTCTGTGGCATCCTGCATTACTCTTTTTATAGCAGTTACGTAATTCATTGTAAATGCTTACTTTGGTGCCATTTTTTTCTGAATTTTTGCATTTTATGTTGATGATTTTGGTATTTTAATATGGTCCCCAAAGAGTGTGCTGAAGCCCTAATCTCAAGAAGGCTGTGATGTGCCTTAGGGAGTAAAAATTTGCTAGATGAGTTTCAATCAGGCATAACTTACATTGCTGTTGGCCATTAGTTCAGTGTTAACAAATCAGCAGTACCTATTAAATAAAGTGTCTTTATTTATTTTTTTTAATAAAGTGTCTTTAAATAGAAACACATAAGCAGGACTGTGTGTTAGTAGATGAAAATATTCTTACCAGAGGTTCACAGGATCCCCAACCCTTGAGATTCCCCTAGGAGCAATAGTTCAGTATTTGCTAACTTAGTGTTCACAGTAACTTTATAAAAATTATGAGAACTGACTGTATTTGTAAATATATATAAATATAAATATAATTTTGTCAAATACAAATATATAATACATGTCATTAACTTGCTTCCCCCCATATAACTGTATATGTACCATACATATATACAAATAATAGGTGTTTAATAATAACAGTATCAGATGTTATGTAATTAAGAAAAAATTATGTATGTACTTATATATTGCATGAGCATGGAGACAGGTGTGGCTAATATACATCAGTTATATATTGATTCCCTGGGGGAATGAGTATTTTTTTTTTAATATATCTTTGTAGTCTTTCACTGGTTACAAGGAACATATATTTCTTTTGCAGATACTCTACAAAAGACTTTTAAGACATGACTTTTAATGACTATTTTGCATTTCCCTATGTGAAAGGAATGAAGTTTTGACTAATGCCTTGGCTATTCCTGTGTTTAGATAGTCAACGTCTGCAATTGGATCTACAGAAAATGGAGCTTTTGGAAAGTAAAATGACTGAGGAACAACAGTCTTTAAAAAGCAAAATTAAGCAAATGACGACTGATTTGGAGACATACAGTGATTTGCCAGGTTTAAAATTATCAGGTGAAGAAAAGAAAAAAGTAAGTACTAACAATATCTTAAAAAATTACAATTGAATTTGCTTTTTCTTGATCAAATTTAATATATAGTTTATTGAGTTTATTATTTTTATTTGGTTATTTGATATTTAAGTTAAGAAAAAAGTTAAGATGTTTACATTTTAGTAACATTCCTACAATTTAGTAGGAATTTAGGCTTGAATTTCAAAAGGCAAACATTGAAAAACAAGGAATAGCGCATTGCAACAAATATGACATTTCCTAAGTGCAGATTTGATTAGGACCTATTTATGACTTGTGAGAGGTTTTTCATTGTCATTAATTTAAAATAAATCTGGTGGGATAATAACAGATATGGCAGCATTAATAGTGTTTTTAATGCAGCTAAAACTAACAGCTTATTATAGTCCAAAGGATTGCTTCACAGATATTAGAGTATATATAACCTTGGTAGAATTTGATCAAAATATCTCTGAAATTATTTACATCAATTATAATTTATTTGGCTTACCAGATATTTGCTATGCCCTGTTATTTACTTTTGTTTGGATCTATCTAGAAATTACATCAGGAGAGAGCAGTATTATCAACCCACAGAAATGCTTTTAAGAAAATAATGGAGAAGCTAAACGTAGACTATGAGACACTAAAAACACAATTGCAAGAAAATGAGACACATTCTCAGGTAAAAAAAAAAAAAAGACTCTGAAATTCATTCCTATTTTTAGTCTTTCTATTCTGTATTCTTAATCTATTATTTTTACCCCAAAACAATCCTTTCCTTTTTTTTTTTTTAACCTGCTTTATTTATTTACCTTCCAGATTCTCTGGCTGTGAAGATAGCCACATTCTGTACACTCTTCACCAAGAATGAATTTTACTCCTGTTTATTACCTCTTACAAGCCTGTTGCCTACACTGTACTGGGCACTGTTCTGGGCACAGCCATCATGATGATAACCTTAACTTTTTTCCAAAGTAAAGCATTTTTAATATAGAGTTTGCTAAACCAGGAAAGCCAGAAAGAAAGAGAATAAACACTAATGACCAATATCCCACCCAGAAGAGATTATTCTTACCATTTTGGTGAGGGTTCTTCCAGTCCATCTACATATTTTTTATATATATATCTATATATACTTTATACAAATACATAAGTACACATTTATTATTATATATTTATAGAAATGGCATATTATGTTAGAAGCTTGTTTTTCATTATTGACTATAAATCATACTTATCAATAAATATTGACAAATATTTGATAAAATGTCAAATATTTTTAATTAATTCTAATAATATTTGACTACATGGATATAGCATAATTTACTGAACTATTTCCCTATTGTTAGACATTTAGGTATTTCTAGTTTTAAAATTGTTCAAGTAATGCTATAAAGAATAGTTCTGTCTGAATTTTTTTTTTTAAAGATTTATTTAGTTATACAAGCACTGGGGTATAGGCCAGAGCCGCTGGAGGGTGAGAGAATTCATCAGAGTCGGAGCAGGGATTGGAGCAGAACAGGCAGAAAGACCGAAGTATACTGCTGAGGGGAACAGCGGGGGAGACAGGAGAGGTCTGCACGCCATGTGGGAATCTCCCTCATTGGCCGGGCATCGAACCGGCACTGTAGAGGCTGCAGACAGCTTCATAGCTCTGTGCTCAACCCGCCATGCTACCGGGGAGGCCCTGTCTGAATTTCTTAATTCATTTCTCTGATTATTTACACAGGGTGCAAAGCCAAGCATCTCACTGATCCTACTGATAATGTCTGAGGTGTTCTAGATTGACAGTTCTGTCCCAGACAGTAGAGATGAAGTCTATTTCTTGTTCACTTTTTCCCTAGCTAGTAATTGTGAGCTAGTAATTGTCAATAGGTGTTCAATAAATATTTGTTGGAGGATTAAATGAAGCAACATATGTGTCATGTACAAAATAAAGATGTACAAGATAAAGATTGGTTATCTTTTTCTTAAAAGTGGTAGAGTCTTACCAGTTTGCCACAACTACTAATAGCTTAGAAATCACTAATTTAGGGCCTCCCTGGTGGCGCAGCGGTTGAGCGCCGGGTTGCAAAGCTGCCCGCAGCCTCTGCAGCGCTGGTTCAATCCCTGGCCGCCGGGAAGGGGTCCCACATGGCACGCAGACCTCTCCTGCTGCCCGCTGCTCCCCTTAGCAGTGTACTTCGTCACTCTGCCTGTTCTGCTCCCTGCTCTGGCTCTGGTGAATTCTCTCACCCTCCCGCGCTTCTGACTGTATCCAGTGCTTGTATAAATAAATAAATAAATCTTTAAAAAAGAAAAAAAAAAAGAAATCACTAATTTACATAATTCAAAATTATCAGTCATTCTGTTGCTACTTCATAACATACAAATCTAAATAAGTGGCAAAATTATCTTTAGATGTTTAGAGATGAAATAGGTGCTGGAGAAGAAACCTAAGAAAAAGTTTATGAAGATACTTCTTAAATGATTCTTAGGGAAAAACTGATTTTTTAATGTAATACTGACTCTCCTACCGAATAGAAAACTCGAAGAAAACATTTTTTAAAAGATTTATTTATTTATGCATGTAAGTACTGGGGTACAGGCCAGAGGTGTGGGTGGGGTGGTGAAAGGATGTACCAGAGACAGAGTAGGGAATAGAACAGGCAGATTGACTGAAATACTCTGCTGAGTGAAGCTGCAGGTGAGACAGGAGAGGTCTTCTGCGCCATGTGGCTCACCTCCCTGGCCAGGGATCGAACTAGTGCTGCAATGGCTGTGGATAGCTTCACAGTGCTGCGTCCTTAACCCCTTGTGCCACCAGGAAGGCCCCTAAAGAAAACATTTAACAGTTTCTTAGAGTCGGCTGGTGGTTTTCTTAATTTATTGCCATAGGAAGTGCTAATCATTTTCTGAACCATATATATAAATATATGCTGAATTTGTAGCATAAGCCACAATGTACTGTTTTTCTCTGTAGTATTTGTTGCCTTTTATTTTTTCCAAATGATAAATCAAATCCTGATTTTTCTGTTTTTCATCCTTTTTCTTGAAAACTGGTTTTTGATATCTGTAAATCATTTTCCATGACAGATTTTTCTAAATGAATAGCTGTTAATTATCTGAAATCATTTAAACATATTGACATTGGAACAAACTGTAAAATTCCTAGAAGAAAATATAAGGATAAAGCTTCTTGACTTTGGGCTTGGCAGCAATTTTTGGATATGGCACAAAAAGCATAAACAACAAAGGGCAAAGGGAGATAAGCAGACCTAGGTTAAAATAAAAGACTTCTGTAGAAGAAGCAATCAATAATATGGAAAGACAACCTACAGAATGGGAGACAATATTTATAAATCATATATCTGATAAGGGGTTAATATCCAAAATATATAAAGAACTCACTTTTTAAGTAATCTGTAGGAAGAAACAGGTTTTCAAAAATGAAATTACGCTTCATGATATCCTCAGCAAGTCACTAATATAGACATATTATGGAGAGAATTTGACCATCTGATCTGGTGTTGCCTTTATAGCATTATTCATGTAGCACTTGAGAGGTCTATTGCATTATAAGAAGGCTGCTTCTTTGTATGAAACAAAGGGGGAAAAGTTTGGTACTTGACTTTGTAAAAGGTTATTAGAGATTTATTGTCAAAAAATGCTGACTGTTTCCTTGAGTTCATCATTACTTCAAGGTCCTATCTGGGAGAGCTAGATCTGATTTAGTAGTGTTAACTCATAGCACATACAGTTCACATAATTAATTCATTACAATTCATCTTAATATCTAGATTTATCTCTTTGAAGGAAACAATGGGATAGATGCAACATTAAGACTGAACCTATGCCCTGAAAAGAAGTTTAACGTGAAAGTAAAAAGAAGTGTTAATGCTGATTCAATTGTTAGATTGTAAAAACAATTGTTATTTTTAAGAAATGTACAGCAAAACATTACTTTAATGTTTCGTTCATCAGACAGTCCTATGTTTAGGGAAAAAACTATGTGCATCTTAAAAAAGAAAGACCGTAACCCAGAGTTACAAGGTTAATTAAATCAGAAAAACAGTTTAATTCTATAACAGTAAAATTGTCTTCTGAGGAAGCAACCATCAATATAATATCCACATTAGCTTCCTGTTGATGCAGAAATTATTGTAACAGTGCCAGCTTTTTACCAGCCTGCTTATAATCTTCACACTGCAGCTCTGTTCTTATCACAGCTTGTGGAATTAGACAGGAAATTTAGCCCTGGAAATAAGGAAGTTTCTCCTCTATAGCTGAACCTTTGACAGTGTTAGTCTATATATTATATTTGTGGTGTTACATACCCAGATTTCAAGGAGAGATTCCCATCATGTCCCAAGCTTCTTTTCTAAATTTTTTTAGGAAAGGGAAAAATCATATATTCTCTTTCAGTTGGCATGTTCGTGGGCATAACATTTAAAATATTTTCCAGATAAAGTAGACATATAAAATAAAACCTATTGTTGAAGTCAGCATTGTATTTATTAATGTATTTACTATTGTTTAATCTTTCCTAATTTTTTTTTTGTCTACATGGCTTTGTATCAGTAAAATGCAAGGAGTTGATAAGATTTAAAATTGAGTGTTTTTTTCCCTTATCCTCTTAAAAGGGTGCATAATTGTTTTTAATATGGGCACTGGTTGACATTTTTCTTTTGTGTTTTTAGCTTACAAATTTGGAGAGGAAGTGGCAACACCATGAGCAAAATAATTTTGTGATGAAAGAATGTATCCTTTAAAAAGCTGCAAGTGAACTTGACCAAGTGATTTTTTTTTCTAGGAATTTTTTTCAAAATTTAATGATTAAAATAAAATTTAATTCAATGCACACTCCCAAATACCTAATATCTGCAAAACACTGAGCCAAACATGTGCACTGTGTGTACATGTGTGTGTACCCAAGTAACTAATAGAAAGCAGAATCCATGAAATTGTAGTGTGGCATAGTAAGTGTACAGGTTTTGCAATCGGGAGATCTTTCTAATTTTAAATGTTGACTCTATTACATATAGGTTGTGGACTTTGTACAATATATGTAATTTATTTAAGCCTCAGTTTTATCATCTCAAAAACAGTTAATGTTTTCTTCCATAGAGTTGTTGGGGGAATTACATGTAACCATATGTATACATGTAAGTATATATATAGTTGTTTGTTGTTGTTTATAATGCATGACCTTGGATATCTAGATGGCACATGCAGATAAACTAAGGTCATGAGAAATTTGACCTTCATCTGTGTTGCAGCGAATTCAATTTCATCTGATTTCTGACAAGATGGCATTTATATTCCTTTGTTTTCCTTCTTGTGTGATCATAGAAGAAAGCAGATGCTGAGAACAGGTATCATGGAGTTGCAAGGAATATTTCACCAAAAGTGTTTTGTAGCTCTCTTTGACCTATTCTAGGTCAAGAGCTTGATAGCACTGAGATTTTAACCCCTGCACCACCAGGGAGGCCCCAGGACAACTATTTTAAAAACAAGTTTTGTTTGACCTTTTAGGTTATAATTGATATGTAATTTGTTAAAATCCTCTTACTTAAAATATTCCAGTTGTGCTTTTTCTATGCAATCTTCAATTTTCAGTTAAAAAAAAAGTAGCAATATAATTTGGTTTTTTTCTGAGCCACATTTAAACTACTATTTTTATTAAGTGTTTCCCCTTAATTCATATTATTAGTCATAGCAACCAAGAGTCAAGAGAGTGATTACCGACCAATTATGAAGAATGTGACCAAGCAGATTGCAGAGTACAATAAAACTATCGTGGATGCTCTACATAGCACAAGCAGAAACTGAGTCTGAACCAAGTGGGAGTCTATAAAAGTATCATCTTTTTGCTAAGTTTTATTCAAGTTGAGAGAAAAAAGAAAATTCACCCTTCAAGAATTTTATGTAAAATTTATTATGGTGTCATTTTTGTGAACTCTTTGAAGAGTGATATAGCATAGCAGTCAGTAGTCAAAGAAGTTCGCACGTGCAAAAGTTTCTTCTTTTGTGATATTTGTATTTGTGTTGGTAATAAAAATGCCTCAAAGAATCCAGAGAAAAACTAAAAGTGACCATTGAGAATCCTGTAGTCTGCATAATCCATCTAACTTAACAAATGAAGTCATCTTTTCACATGTCAACTCAAGGAGAACTGCACGCAGGAGAGTGATTCTGATTTAGCACTTCAGTCAACCTTATCAATTTTTGCTTCTAGAAAAAGTAAAAATAGAAGGAAAATGTTTTGCTTTGAGCTTTACTTCTCAAATAGGGCATATTTGATACATTGTAAGGCACATAAAGTTACAGTAAATATGAGTCATGTATCAGTTACTAATAAAGATGTGGAATTAAAAAACTTTTTTTAAAGGTTTATTCATATACGCATACAAGAACTAGGGTACAGGCCAGAGGTGTGGAGGGTGAGAGGATTCACCAGAGACAGAGTGGGGAACAGAACAGGTGCATTGACTGAAATACACTGCTGAGGGGAGAAGCGGGCGAGGCAGAAGTCTGCTGTGCCATGTGGGTCACCTCCCTGGCCAGGGATCGAACTCGTGCTGCAGTGGCTGGGGATAGCTGCATAGTGCTGATGCTTAACCCCTGCGCCACTAGGATGGCCCCTGGAATTAAAAAACTTTTAACCTTTGCATTCTTATTTTCTTTCATGTATATGCCAGGAAAAAACATGTTGTTTAAAAGTGCTGTTCTTACGATGGGCCATTTTGAACTGTGACTGCTCCTGGTCATTCTGCCCTGCTGTATGCATTTGCTTTTTTGTATTGTAAGAGGATGGAAGCAAATTAATTTATAAGCATTAGCAAGAACACTTGGAAACAAATGTTTCCAAATGAAGAGGTAGAATTGTGTAATATAAATCTGGAAAATCTTGTAGTAACTAAAGATGTACCCTTTCTGGTGGGGCAGAAGCAAGTCATTCAGCAAAAAATAGCCCTTAAAACTATCTTCCTTTTCTCTGATCACATATTGACCAAGTTACCCTATATCTCAATGTTCCTGAAACACAAATATATTTGTTTCTTTGGGGGAAAAAACTTCCAATATAATTTACACACCCTAAAATGAGCTGTGTGTATTTTCTTGAAGTGTATGTTTATCGTTGTAAATTATTCAACTTTAGTGTGTGTGATTGTAAGTAGAGGGATAAGCATTGTACAGTTTAGTTAACTCTGGATTACTAATGTGTCTGAAGATCCTGGACAGTGATACATTCTTTAAGGTGCATTCCTAAAATGTATTCCCTAGATCCTGAGTTCCTTAGTCAATTTACATGTGTTATATCACCAAAGGATTTGTCATCAGAGAAGATTGGGAAATATCATTTGAAAGAAAGGTAAATTGTTTTCTTCTGGATTTCTCAGAACCCTTAGTATACATTAAGTTCAAGAATACAGTAATAGAGACTCAACAAAAACAAAATTAATCCAGTCAAAAAATGGGCAGAAGAGCTAAAAAGAAACTTCTCTGAAGAGGAAATGCAAATGGCCAACAGACATATGAAAAAATGTTCAACATCACTTGTCATCAGGGAAATGCAAATCAAAACTACCATGAGATACCATCTTACACCAGTGAGAATGGTACATATTAAAAAAACTAACAACAACAAATGTTGGCGAGGGTGTGGAGAAAAAGGAACTCTCCTGCACTGTTGGTGGGAGTGCAAACTGGTCCAACCACTATGGAGAGCTGTGTGGAGATTTCTGGACCTACTAAACATAGAGCTTCCATATGAACCAGCAATTCCACTCCTAGGTATTTACCCAAAGGACACAGAAACATCAAATCCAAAGTGCACCTGCACCCCTATGTTTATAGCAGCACTATTTACAATAGCTAAGCTTTGGAAACAGCCCAAATGCCCAAAAATAGATGACTGGATTAAGAAGATGTGGTACATATACACCATGGAATATTACTCAGCATTCAAAAAAGATAAACACGTGCAATTTGCAGCAACATGGATGGCGCTGGAAGGGATCATGCTCAGCGAAATAAGCCAGAAAGAAAAAGAAAAATACTGGATGGTCTCACTCATAGCAGTAATCTAGAAAACTTAAATAAGGGACCAGGAAAAAGAATAACTGTAAGAAAGTGAAAATCAAAATCAACAAACAACTATGAACCAGAGACACTCTATGGGGGGTGGGGTGCAGGGAGGGGAGGGATTGGGGTCAAAATAAGGGGGTTGCAATTGTATGGGGAATATAAAAATAAAATTTTTTAAAAAAGAAAAAGATTTAAAAAAAAAGAATACAGTAATACTGGGTTTTTTCCTTAAATGGTGGGATTATAGATGTTTTAATCTTTTTCTAACTTTTTGCTACTTAGAAATGCAATAAAAATTAAAATAAGGTCCTGTATACAGTGAGTGCTTTATGTTGTAGAAAGGAGATATAGTAGTAAAATAATTCTGTAGTCTTTGTTATAATTGGAACCGAATCACTTTTCACCCATTAAGAAAATAAGAATGTTGGCCTTGCCAACAATGTGTTGGTACTATAACAATGGGAAGATTGGCAAGAAAAAAATTCAAAATTTCTTTGAAAAAGCAGTTCCAACTTTTGTTCTAAATTTCTCATATATACTTAGGGAACATAATCAAGCAGGATCTCTTTAAAACATGTTATCTGAGGGAAATTTTCCCTAATGTCTCTTCCTTCCTCTCGAAGCTTTTCAGCGAATAAAGCAAGAGTATTCTCTCTGCTAGGATAGGACTGGAAGCTACTATCTACATGAACCGGCTCTTCCTCAGTCACATTGCTCAGTGAGTTCCATTCATGTTAAAATAACACCTTGTAAGTTATATGGAAAGAAGCACAGACTGAACAAACATGCTGAGTAGTTTACTAATGAAGATCAACACAGGAAAGTTAGCAAGGCTTTTTTCCCCCCATCATTATACTTTATTAATAAGCATAAGTTCTTGATACTTTTTCATTAACTGGGGTGTCCCTCATTTGGACCATATTCTGGACTCAGATTAGGGTACAAAATTCAGGGCAGGGTTAGAGGGTGAGTCATGGAGTAGTGTCATTCACTAGAGATGAAAGTTACCAGGAGCCGCAGCAGTTCTTACTGTCCCCCTGCCCAGTCTCTCTGCAGCTCTGTGATGATTCCAGCCTCCACAACCTTAGTAAATTAGAATGTTTAGACTCAAAAGTAAGATGAAATCAAGAGAAACTATTAGAGAATGATTATTGTTTTAAAATTAATACTCCATCCTTCATTTTACCATGTGCCTCCTTAAATAAATATAGGTTATATCTTAAAATTGCAGACTCACAGTTTGAAAACTGAGATTGGACATATTTAAAAAGATAATTTTTAATATAAAGGTAGAAAATTTAGGGAGGCAAAATGAATAAATTACTTGTGATATCGCCAGTGTCTGTAGATGTGCATCTATATATCTGTCACATAATTTATTAAGATTATCTGTTTCTTAAACCTATTTTTGCTGTTAATACATCTCCAATATTTATCCATATAATTAGGTATTTTTAGAGAATAACATGTTTCATTGCTATATTTTATTTTATTATAATAATAGTTTTTAAAGCCAAACCCCTTGTTATTGAATGAGGTTTATAGTATAAGGGTTAAGTTTAAGGTTTGGGTTAGGTAACCAGGTTTGAATTGCAGCGCCACTATTAACTTGTTATATGATTTAAGGAAGCTACTTAGTCTCTCTGAATATCAGTTTCTTCACCTATAAAACGAGATGGTAGTGCTTAACTCATAGGATTGTGCTGGAAGGAATGCAGAATCTAAGACTTTGGACACAAATGACTCTCAGACACAACAATGGAAATTTGCTTGTTTCCTTGCATACTCATTAACACTAGTGCTAACCAGGTTAACAATTCACTATGTCATTTATGTTTGTCTTTTTTTTTATTATAGTTAGAAACTACATTTTAAATAAGAATTTGCAGTTATATTTTCATACTTAAAAAGAAAATATGATTTTACAAATTCTATTTTTAAATATTTATTATATCTTTGTAATAAAAGCTTAACACTTACTGCTAACTTTTAGAAGATTTTAGATTGTTCTTTGCTGCTTTCATGTCTTTTCTCATAATATATCATAATGAATTGCTGCTCAGAAACCCTGACTGCATAACCTTAAGGGGAATACCTGTATAGGAATAACCCACTGGATTATGAGGGCTGTTGTACTTGCTCATTTTTTCTCTTCTCCTACAAATCAAAGTGATTGCATATAAGGAGAAATTGTTTCACAGGAGAGAAAATACACCCTTGGGAGAGTATAATATATAAGAGAGTTCGGAAGAAGCTGAGTCGAAGAAGTGGATTGGTCATCTATCTGAAAGAGGCTTAGACATATTAGATAAGCCATTCACAAAACAAGTATAAAAACTAAAATGAGATTTTTGAATTTAACTTCATTTTTATTTCAAAACCACGAAACAGTATGTTCACTAACAACCTGGTAATGCCATGGATGAAAGGCATACTTAATTAGTTGAAATAACTTTGGCATATGTTCAAGAAAGACCTACTACAAACCAAGCTAAAATACTATCTCATTTTCTGTTATCATTTGCAAAGATAAACTTCTTATTAGAGGAAGTCCAGATTGACATGAAGGTGAAAATATTTGATACAGTTCAAAAGCACAATGTGAATATTTCTTTATCAAAGTAAACTATAGTTCATTTTTAAAAGCCTTGCTTAGTCTTTAATTATCTTTTGTTAAAATAAACTTTGCCTTAGTTTACTGGAGTAGGGAGGGATGCCTTAGAGGTTGACCGGTCCAATCCCATCCCCCCTGCTAAGGAAAAAGCATGGACCTTGTGTCTCAGGATTAGGGGAAATGGCTAA